GTGTGATAAAATTGGACCCTGCAAACCAATACTGTAATCATATCCCAAAAATGAAGAAGGTTGATCCTTTCAAAACAAGTGGTATGAGAATAATTCATGGCTAGAGTATTCTCCAAGTACTGATGCTATGTTTTGTTTCAGCTGCCATCTTTTTTTACATGAGGAAAAACACACAGAAGACAGAAGGGTTTAATAGGTGGAGAAAGGCTTTACAAAAAATCAAAGAGCACAGTGCGTCAGAGTCTCACATGTGTAGTATGGTCAGATGGAGCTCATTCAGGAAAAAGTCATTGGAGGAAGCATTTGAAGTGGCTGACCAAGTGTCACAAGCAGCAAAAGACAAAGAGAGAGAGAGAAACAGAGAAATTTTGTCTCGTTTGATAGCCGTTACTCTTTACCTAGCAAGACAGGGCCTGCCTTTCAGGGGGATGATGAGACTGCATCAAGTCAGAATCGAGGAAATTTCTTGGAGTTGGTTGAGTTGTTCAGCAAGTATGACAGTGTGATGAAAATACACCTTGATGCCATAAAAGAGCAACAAGGACCTGGAGAAAGACCTCTTGTCTCGCTCCTGTCAAACAGAAGTCAAAATGACATAATCAAAGCTTTGGCCACATCAGTAAAACGTGTCATCCAAACAGAACTGCAAGAGTGTGACATTTTTTCCATATTGTTGGATGAAACCACTGATGTTTCTCACACTGAACAGGTTTCCTTTGTTGTCAGATATGTACACAACATGGAAATCAAAGAGCGCTTCCTTCAGGTGTGTAACGTGGAATCAACATGTGGGGATGCTCTTGAAAAGCTTGTGAGGGCTCTACTAGAAGAAAATAACCTGAAGACAGACAACATCCGAGGTCAAGGTTACGATGGGGCTGCAAACATGAGTGGGCAGTTTAAGGGGCTTCAGTCGAGAATCCAGAAACAGAATCCAAAGGCTTTATATGTGCACTGCCAGGCACATTGCCTTAATCTGGTGTTGGTAGAGTGCAAAGTCAAACATTTGTTTTGTGAGTTTTTTTTTACTTGGTTGAAAAACTTTACACTTTTGTGGCCAACTCATCAAAACGACACTCAGCATTTATTAAAATGCAGAAGAAGGTGTACCCTGATCAGCGTCCACTGGAGCTGCAGAAGCTGTCGGACACTAGCTGGAGCTGCCGAGAAACTGCTCTTAAGACAATGAGGAAGGTCCTTCCAGCTTTAATGCAGTTTCTTGGGGAAATAACACAGCAAGATCCCCCAGACTCTTCAGCAGGTGATGCTATGATTCTACTCAAAAACATCAATTTTGAATTCCTCCTGTGTCTGGAGATCACCTGTCCAATCTTCCAAGTGACAGCAACAGCATCTGATGCGCTGCAGCAAAAAGACATGGACTTGGCTTCAGCATACAAAATTGTTGATGGAGCATTGAATAGGCTGTCCCACAGCAGAACGGAGGAAGAATTTGAGAAAATGTATCAACAGGCTACAGAGAAGGCAGCATCAGTGGGATTGGATCCTCCATCTGAGGTGCCTGGACAAGCTCGGAGGAGGAAAGTGCCAGCAAAGTTTAAGTTTACTGCAACAACAGCTACTGCTGAACATGTTTTCACAACCCCCCAAGAGTACTACCGTGCCAAAGTGTACTACACCTTTGTGGACACAATGACACAGGAGCTTCAGAGACGTTTTAATGGACGAGATAATTCCACATGGGACATCTTGAATGCCTTCCATTACCTGACAGTCCCAGAGAACTGGCAAACAGCAAGAATCTCAACAGAGTCACTCCAAGCTGTGAAGAAACTCTGCCAGTTCTATGACATTGAGGAAGAAGACAAATTACTGACAGAACTTAAGGTCTTTCATGCTTCCTACTCATGCCCTCCACCAATAAATGTGACATCCATTCTTTCAGTGGTCAAAGAAAACAATGCACATTTGATCTTCCCCAACATGACTGAGCTGATGAAGACATACGGCACACTTCCGGTGTCCACAGCAACAGTGGAGCGTTCCTTCTCAAAACTCAAACTGGTAAAAACCAAACTCCGCACCCTTTGCTCTGAGGAGAGGTTGTCGGAGCTTCTTTTATTGGCTGTTGAGAAAGATGTTACAGTCAACCACGGTGATGTTATTGACATTTTTCGGGACATGGCCAACAGAAAGTTACTGTTGTGATGTGTAAAATGACCTGATGACCATCTTGGTTCTTCCTGCTCTTTGCTGAACACACCCACTGTTATTTTTGTTTCCAGATTATTAAACAGTTTGATTGTTGCCTGTTGGTTTATCTTTAATTGCATTTGTATTGTTGCTTTTAATATTTGAGAGAAAAAAGAAAGATAGAATCATGATGGAAGGAAGAAACCAATAGAGTTCTACAGTCTATTCTGGTAAGGGTCATACTATGATGTTGAAAACACACACACACACACACACACACACACAACTCTTTCTGTTTATATTTCTGTCACATTCTTATCTCTGACATAAACTCCTCTATTATCCACTAATGTTTAGATTTCCATTTATTTACCACAGGTTTTGTCTCAGATATTTCTGTCTTCCAGTTCTAAGAGTTTTCACCAATTTTTGCTATTTTTTTATTATCTTACATAAATTTTGTAATTGACTAACATTTCTCCTCTGTTCGTTTTACTACTTACATCAACACAGCCTTGCCCTCCAGCATCATCAGCAGCAGCAAGAGGAGCAACCCTGCAACAGCTACATTGTACTCCATCATCAGGTAAAATAGGACAGCAACAGATCAGGAGGTGGAGCAGGTTGTCCAGTAATAAGAAGGTTGCAGGTTTGATCCTGACTGTAATCAGAGATTGATGCTGTTGTGTCCTTGGGCAATACACTTAACCTGCTTTGCCTGCTGGTGGTGGTCAGAGGGACTGGTGGCGCCTGTGCTCAGCAGCTTCACCTCTGTCAGTGCGCTCCAGAGCAGCTATGGCTACATCATAGCTCATCACCATCAGTGTGTTAATGTGTGTGAATGACTGTGTTGTAAGGTGCCTTGGGGGGTTGTAGAACCCTAAGAAGGCATTATACAAATACAGACCATTTACCAAACAAGTTACTTTTGCTTTACATTGTCCTTATGGTGTATATAATGATTCGCTTCCATTTTGAATTTCTAATAAATATGATTTGTTATTCAGCCGGGTATACTGTGGTTATGTCATGGTGTTAGAAAATATTATTCTGTGTGCCCCTTTTTAAATTTGAGCACCCGCCCCTTCAAAGGTCTCTGCACGGCCCTGCTGGCGTGGTTGAAACACCATCATTACTTTTTATTTCAATAGTAGTACAACATATGCGATCCAGGGCGTAAGGCAAAGCAGATTAGAAAATAACGTTTTTAGCCTCGTTGACTTGCATTCCTTTTTTCGTTCTTCCGGGGACCCATGAGCCGACCAGGAAGGGAGGAGCCTTAGGCTTCCTATGCAGAGTGAGCAACTATGCCCATTTCTGAGCAGCCTATGTTTACAACAACCGGCGTACTATTGAAAACAGATCACATGGGATGACTAGTGACTTTTCTAGCCTACCTGATAGGATTTTATATTTAAATTTATTTTTATTTATTTTGTTTGAATGTATTTACATTTTAACTATCATGCCACACCTTGTGTCTGATTTTGTGAAAAATGTGTTTGTTTCAGTAGAAATGAATGCACTGGGGGCGAATGGAGACCCATCTAAAATGGCGGCCGGCCACTATGGCAGTCCACGGGGCATCTACATATGTCTGTGGTTGTAGCAATGCTGTTAGTTCTGTCAGAATTTGTTTCCCCGGCGTTGGGAGGGCGCCGTCCAGAAACAGCAATACAGCGTCATCTCCGCCTCATTTACTTTTACGGAAAAATGAAAGATGATCTTGTGGGTGACAGTTGTATTCTTATCGTTCTAACGTGATGTTTGATCAAGCTCGAACGTTTCCTGTGGAGAGGATCATCATGTCTGTGGTAACTCCTTCCTTATAAAGACAAAAACAGCTTCATTTATACAGCACATTTCATACACAGAGGCAACTCAATGTGCTTTACAGTAGCAAATACACCGGAAAACAGCCGACTCCTATATTCTGGCATAACTTGTAGCTTATGGAAGCACATTCAGCCGGAAAAAATAAACAGCTCCGGTTTTCCGACTTAACGAGATAACTTTTACGGAAAAAAAGTAAAGTGGCTGTTATCTTAATTAACAAGATAACTTAAAAAATAAATAAATAAAATCCATCTGCACTGCTAATGAGGCTCTGTGGCATTACTGACTGGCTCATTATTCAAGTCACTTTCCCTATGTTCACTACTATTGTCTCTAATTAAATGGGCATTGAAGATAAGTCATCCCTGGATCATCTCAGTCGGTCCGGTCGTCTGAGAGCGGCTGGGTGGGGGTTGGGATAACTCCTCTAATGTCACAGAGCATCATTACTGCAGAGGGATTCTTTTATTTTAAAAAAGTATCTTGTTAATTCAGAAAACAGAGCCATTTTTTGTTTTTTATTTTTGCAAAAGTTATCTCGTTAATTCATTTATTTTTTTGGGCTGAATGTGCTTCCATAAGCCACAGGAGCAGCCAGTAGTGTCCAGTGATGTGAAAGTGAGCACAATTGGCCAAGCTGTCTTGTGGGCTCGGCCACACATGGCTAATTTGCATAGAACAAAAATATTTAGCTCACAGATTTAGTTTTAGATTTAACATTTAGATTTGAAAGTGGGATTTACATTTAGATTTAACATTTATACTTAGTATTTAGACTTAAGTTTAAATTTAGCATTTAGATTTAACAATTAAGTGTAGATATAAGATGAAATTATGTCATTTGAACATCATTTTAAATGTAATTAAAGTTGCTAAATGTCAAAAAAATGTCTGCTAAATTATTTGCACCAGCAATTTACACTTGGCATCCCATAGACATTGAAAGGTTTGAAGCGGACACTGGGTAATTTATGCAGAAGAATAAAAACCTCAGAAGAAAAGAGACTGACTTGATTTTATTGACTGGTTGTGCTGTGAAGAGAGCCGACCAGCGAGCCCACTCCTCCCTCAGTTCTTTCTGCGTCTTTCTCTGACAACCAGAAGAAAAATCAATCTGACCCTGAATCACATTTCACTTTCAAGAAAAAGAAAAATCACAAAATACAGTTTTTGGAATACAACACAGTATGGTTAGATTTAAAAGGATTAAATGAATTAAACATTTCACTACAGCTCATATCTGCCTCTGCAGGGCAAGCAGTCAGTCAAGTGTTGGCTCACCTCGTGGAGGCAGAAGGTGGTTTCAAATACATCCTCTGAAATGAGCTTCTCCAGGTTATCTGAAACGAGATGACGTTGGAGGGCATCAGGCCTTTTTTCAGCCTGTTACAGAACAACCAATGCAGCTACTGTCCAGCAACACTCGCTTTGTGTGATTCTAATCCGAGGCAAAGTGTTGATGTTTGGATGTAGGAACTGTAAAAGAGGGGTAAAGATATGTTAAAGCTGCTGCCAGTAGCTCATCAGTGTCACCATGGTAACCATAGGGTCATTATCAAACAACAGTTGAACATCCTCCATCCATCCGTCCATCCACCCGTTCCTTTTCTTCCGATTATCCGGAGTCGGGTCGTGGGGGCAGTAGCCTAACTCAAGAGTCCCAGACTTTCCTCTTCCCAGCCACTTGGGCCAGCTCCTCCGGGGAATTCCCATGGCGTTCCCTGGCTAGGTGAGAGACCTAGTCCCTCCACCGTGTCACGGGTCTACTTTTAGGTCTCCTCCCGGTTGGACGTGCCCGGAAAACCTCATCAGGGAAGCGTCCAGGAGGCATCCTGACCAGATGCCCGAGCCACCTCAACTGGCTCCTCTCGATGTCGAGGAGCAGCGGGTCTACTCCGAACCCCTCCCGTATGACCAAGCTTCTCACCCTATCTCTAAGGGAGAGCCCAGCAACTCTTCGGAGAAAACTCATTTCGGCCGCTTGTATCGCAATCTTTCGGTCACTACCCAAAGCTCATGACCATAGGTGAGGGTAGGAACGTAGATCAACCGGTAAACCGAGAGCTTCGCCTTCTGACTCAGCTCTCTCTTCACCACGACAGACCGGTACAACGCCCGCATCACTGCAGATAAAGCACCAATCCGCCTATCGGTCTCATGCTCCAGTTTTTCCTCACTCGTGAACAAGACCCAGAGATACTTAAACTCCTCCACTTGGGGCAGGACCTCATCCCTGACCCGGAGAAGGCATTCTACCCTTTTCCGAATCAAAACTGTGGTCTCAGATTTAGAGGAGCTGATTCTCATCCCAGCTGCTTCACACTCGGCTGCAAACCGCTCCAGCGAAAGCCGAAGATCACGTTCTGATGAAGCCAACAGGACCACATCATCTGCAAAAAGCAGAGACCTGATCCTCGGGTCACCAAAACGGATGCCCTCCACACCTTGGCTGTGCCTAGAAATCTTGTCCATAAAGCTTATGAACAGAATCGTGACAAATGGGGCAGCCTTGGCGGAGTACAACTCTCACTGGAAACGAGCCCGACTTACTGCCGGCAATGCGGACCACGCTCTGACACCGGTCATCCAGGGACCTAACAGCCCGTATCAGAGGGCCTGGTACCCCATACTCCCGGAGTACCCCCCACAGGGCCCCCCCAAGGGACGCGGTCAAACGCCTTCTCCAAATCCACAAAACACATGTAGACTGGTTGGCACCCTCCAGGATCCCCCTAAGGGTATAGAGCTGGTCCAGTGTTCCACGGCCAGGACGAAAACCACATTGCTCCTCCTGAATCTGAGGTTCAACAATCCGATGGACCCTCCTCTCCAGAACCCCTGAATAGACCTTACCAGGAAGGCTCAGGAGTGTGATCCCCCTGTAGTTGGAACACACCCTGCGGTCCCCCTTTTTAAATAAGGGGACCACCACCCCGTCTGCCAGTCCAGTGGGACTGCCCCCAATGTCCACGCGATATTGCAGAGCCGCATCAGCCAACAAATCCCCACAACATCCAGAGCCTTAAGGAACTCCGGGCGGATCTCATCCAGCCCCGGAGCCTTGCCACAGAGGAGCTTTTTAACCACCTCAGTGATGTCAGCACCAGAGATTTGAGAGCCCAACCCAAAGTCCCCAGACTCTGCTTCCTCACTGGAAGATGTGTCGCTGGGATTGAGGAGGTCTTCGAAGTATTCTGCCCACTGATCCACAATGTCCTGAGTAGAGGTCAGCAGCACACCGTCCCCACTATAGATAGTGTTGGTAGTGCATTGCTTGCAGTGCTGTTGAACATCCTGTAAAGGAAAACCTTCAAAAGTTCTGTGATTGTGTCAAAACCATCAGAGACCAAGACAGCAATCCAGGTATGGAAAGTCCAACTTCCTGTTTGAAATCTGAAGGATGTGTCCACACATGAGCTCCAAACAGAGTGGGGCTTTCTCCTGGTTCACCTAAATCCTGCCCAGGGTTATCAGTTGCCACATACCACTTTCCTGAATAAACGGTATGATTTTATGTAGAATTAGCTTTTCATTTTTACCTGTGGGTTATGAAAGCACACGGACATGGCAGAATCATGAAATAGCCAGTAACAATCATCTTCTCATGCTTATGCACTGACACCATTGATTAAAGTACATTTTTGTTTCTTAATGACAGTGTTTATGTTGTCATGTTTGCAACGCTGGTACAGGGACCAGTCTACACCCCCTGGTAAAATGTCAGGTTCCTGTGCTGTACAAAATGAGATAAAGATAAATTGTTTCAGAACTGTTACCACCTTTATCATATCCTATAAACTGTACCACTCCATAAAAAAACTGAAGTCCTTTAGGTGGAGGAAAGTAAACAAAACAAAAATTAAAGTGGTTGCATAAGCGTGCACACTCTTAAATACTTTGTTGAAGCACCATTTGGTTTTATTGCAGCACTAAATCTGTTAGGGTGTGAGGATCAGCATGGCAGAAACACTCCTAATCTGTCAGATTAAGAGGTCATCTCCTGTGCGTGGCCCTCTTCAGATCACCGCCCAGGTTTATTATGGGATTAAGGTCTGGGCTCTGGCAGGACTATTCCAAAACTTTAAACTTCTTCTGGTGAAGCCAGATTTGGATGTATTCTTTGGGTCGTTGTCATGTTGACTGATAAAGTTCCTCCTCATGTTCAGCTTTCTAGCAGAAGGCTGAACGTTTTGTACCAGTATTGACTGATATTTGGAAATGTTCATAATTCCATCTTAACTGAGGCCTCAATTACTGACAAACAGCCCCAAAGCATGATCCTGCCATCACCATGCTTCACTGTGGGTATGATGTCCTTTTGGTGATGTGCAGTATTGTTTTGCACCAAACATAATTTTTGGAATTATGGCTAAAAATTTCCATCTTGGTTTCATCAGACCATAGCAATTGTCCCACATGCTTTTGAGAGACTTCGATGTGTTTTTGCTAAATGTAGCCTGGCTCATGGGCGTAGTTTTGACTTTAGGAGTGGGGGGCACACAACCGGCATGAGGATCGGTGGGGCTCTTTACAGTAAGTATACAAAATATGTATAAAACTACTGCCTAGAGGCTCTTTAATGCAATGTCGGGAATGCAGCACTGTCAAGTACACAGGTGGCAGGAAAGGCCAATCACACGTTAGCAAGTATCAGCAGAGCCAATAGATGAGCTTATGGACGGTTCTAATGGGAAACAACACAAGAGGTTGTTTTCCGCTTGGTCCTAGTGCTTAACCAGTGTCTATGTAATATAATGTAATGTTGTTTTTGAGTGGTAAAAAGTGCAGGGGACAGAAATTGACTTTGGAAAAAGGGGGAGGGCACCCCTCCTCCTAAAGGATTTCCGTTAGGCTTTCATTTGAGTGGTGCAGTTTATCGGACACAGTAAAGGTGGTAAAAGCTCTGAAATCAGGAGCCTGACGTTTTACCTGGGGCGCAGACCTTTGATAGAACTGAATTAACTAAACCGTCGTAAACAAACCACTTACCTTTTGAGTTGACAAACGTCTGATGAAGAATGAAATCAACGATTCGGATTCTGGAAGAAGAGGAAAAGGTTTAAAACCACCACTGACACTGGGATGTTACAGGTCAATCAGCTGGCTTGTCCCAGTTGGACTTCCTGTTGGACAGTTTCACACACAGCAGGGCAGATGTGTCGCTGTATTGTTTTAAAATGGCTTTGAGTTGTGTTTTCTCGTTTCACAGAAGAGGAGGATGACATCAAAGGAACATTCCTGAGGAGGTGCTTCGCTTTCTGGCTTTGAGCTCATCAACACCGCCCAGCATCTGTCTGGTACCAGGACCGGGGCAGATCTAGGATCACCTCCAGACCCTGAAGGAGTCCGTGGGTAGTCGTCAGTTTATATAGTTGTGTATGTGATGAAGTATTCTCATTATCAACTTTTCATACAAAGAAAACCAACAGGAATGGTGTGTGTCCTGCTGCTGCTGCTTGTTAGGACTAAAGACTTTGACTCTGAAAGGGCATCTGGTTTGGTGAGATTCTGGTCATCTGAGGTTTCGGGCTCAGCTCTACACATCTGGGAACTAGAAAAACTTGCGCTGTGGTATTTGAATGGATGTTATTTTCACAACCACTGCCTACAACACCCTGATGGTGCTTCATGTCATCACAGATCCTATTCTGATGGGATCTGGTGAGAACCGAGGGAGGTAGATCCTGTAAAGGAACCGGATGACCCAGATTTCCTCCAGTCAGGATGTTAGAAGGTTTTACTGATGATACATACAATAAAGAGTTCTGCCTGTTCCTGAAGCCTTTTACAGAAAAACACGAGTGTCTCTTTCTAGTAACAAAAGCTGATCATGAGAGACCTCAATAACTCCAACTCCGCCCCTTCCTGCTCCTGCATTAGTCATTTATGTCACACACACACTTGGGAGTATCCAGCAGCTGATCGGTTATGAGGAATCAGAATTTGCAGCGGATGACAAAGTCTCAACCAGCAGATGTAGCTCTCAGTGCTCATCAACATGTTTAAAGTA